GTTCGTGAACGCCATGATGCACAGCGACGAGGCGGACGGACAGCGCGCACAACCGACGCGCCAGCAGCCACCCTTCGAACGCGGTTAGCCCCCGGTTACGAGCGAGCGAAGGGGATGAAAATTGCGGGGGAGGAATAGAAGTCTGTGAGGGATTAATAGCAATGTGTGTGTGTGTGTGTGTGTGTGTGTGTGTGTGTACATATACAGAATAGAAACACCCTCGCGGGGGAGGGGAGTCAAGAAAATGGCGTCTTGCAGGAAATGTCGTTTATATGTCATAATAAAAGATAACTGGTCTATGCATTTGGCTGATGTAAGTATTTAAATACTGAAGCGAGAGGATAATATTAAAGTAAGTGCTTGGAAAGTTGTCGGCCTGTTTAAACACCGCTTCGATGGCGTTTTGAAGGCAGGGCTCCACGTAAAACCGGGTACACGTGAATGATCAGTGTCGTGCTCCGACAGCTTTAACTCGGGATACTAACTGGCTGTCTGCACGTGGTACCGAAGACAAACTGAAATCCGCGTGGCGTCACAACCCAGAACATGGCTGCCACGTCCGATCTTTTATGAAATCGGTGAAGGTTAGGTTTTACGTAGAAGCAGCGTGTTTGACGGCGACAGACCAAAATTCAATCCACTCCACGGAATCCGCAAAAAAAATTCACTGGCTGGTGTTCAATGAAGTTCTTAGTTCCGTAAAGTAAAAATTGCAGGGGCTCGTTACTCAGAAAAAAAAAAGTGATTTTGCCTACAGCCGATGAGAGCGCTGTAGTCCCGTTCTGAAATTCACAAAATAAATAATTTATGCTCTGTGCTGAATGCTAATTTACTGTTGCATAATCATAAGAATCCGACGTTGATGGGCTTTCTGCTTCATAATTAATAAACTCGGTGTTTAACTGCGGTTGCTATGGTAACTACCAACGGTATAAATGTTGCCAATGTCAGTACCCGCCTGCTAACCATCTCGTTTGTCCTCATTTCCTGCTTTCCGTCTGTTCATGTCTCTTTTTCAAATAGCCGCGTCCCGAGAGATTTTCCTAATCGAAACTCAATATGCATTTCTTGTTTCCTGCCTACGAAGTAGGCCGTAAATGTACATTCTGTAGAAAGGATTTACCCATTCTAACTCCATGGATTAAAATTCTTCTCGAAGAGCTGATACTACGCTCAGCTGTTACAAAAATGTCCACCACTCCTTTATTTTGGAATATAAAGGTTCATTACCGTGATCACAAGAGCTTACATATACGTACATCGGAAAACGTGAAGGAAAGAGAACGCTTGAGAGACATAGGCACAGATGGAAAGGTAGTTCTAATGTTAAATGAAGAGCATTTGAAGGCGTTAATCGGATTCATCTGGCTCAGGGTAAGGACTGGTGGCGGGCTCTTGTGGGAACCTTCGGTAAAATTTCTTGGTTGGCTGAGCGACTATCAGCTTCCCAAGAAATACTCTGTCTGCTCCGTGGAGTTAGTTGTTTGTGTGGCCTGTCCCGTGTAGCAGCAGCCCGAGAGACCCTTATGTTCGATTGCCTCTCAATTGTCTTGTGAGGGCGCCGTGCGGTAGGGGGTAGAAACATTCCCTTAGCTCTTTATGCCGATGAAGGGCTAGAGGGCGCGAGAGGACGGAAGCAGTGAGATGTGACGTGAGGGCCAAAGGTCCCAGACCTTGTGTATGGTGTTTCGCTTTGTTGACATTGTACGTGACAATATACACTGTAGCAGGGCTGATATGAAACCCTTAAACGGCAGGGGTGTACACGGTGCGATGAGTCGAGAGGCGTCTCATGTAAAATGTTCAGACACAATGTTGGTAATCGGGAAGGCAGCTGGAAAAAACATTTGAGATAAAATTCTTTCTAACTCCTTGAAAATAACCTCGCAGCATTAGAGGGTGGGTGCGATTCTGAGCCAGCTCTATCCACCTCAGACCCCACATATGGAAGGTCTGAACTATTCGGTTAACGAAATTAATATCACTACCGCATTTCATACATAAAACTAGCGAAAAGTCCAATTTTTAGTCAGGGTTCTTCTTAAAATTAACAGACTCAAACAAGGAAATACTTTATGTACTGGCATGTTATGAATATGTCTTGGCGATGACTAGCTTTCTACTATTTACTGTCATGGCGTCGAATTGCGATCGCTGTACGAATTAAATCGACGCGACGGGCGTACCTATCGCCTATGCGATATTAATCGATTATGGTCGCCTAGCAACGAAATAACAAAGAACTGTGCAAGACGATTCGCGATATCTTAACGATTACTGGCTCGTATTCAGAATATTTCTTATTCAGACTCTGGTTTCATGATTGAAGTATTCGTGGGTTTCTCAGTTACTCTAGGCATTTTACAGGACAGCAGCTTAACACAGATCACGTCTTGTCCGTCCGTTCTAAATTGGTGGAGTGAATTCGGAGATTAGAAACGCGGATTTCAGACCAAAAAAGAAAGGAGATTAATTTTTATGATTTATGAAGATCAACTGTTGGATACCCCTGACTTACAGAATTACGGAAGGAGAGATGGCGTTGTGCGGGTGGCCGATCCATTACAGGAGGGTAGTTCGCCCCGCGTGACACCAGGTCAGGCATCGTAACGTTCCAGACGACAGACTTCGAACTGCTTCTTAATGTCACTTAACACGATCACAAGCCATTCATATTCTCCTCACATTCTCACAGCCTCTTCTCCTTAAGATACTACTTAACTTTATCCTCCCATCTACTTCTAGGTCTTTTAAATGGACGAATTCTAAGGGATTTCTCCAATAGAATTCTATCTACATTTCTTGTTTTCCCAGTGCTCAGTCAAACATAGCTCCCTAACGTTCGCTGATCTCTCAATATTACAAATCATGAAGCTTCTACTTACGTAAAATCTTCGGAATGTTTAGGCACGAAAGTTTAATGGTTGTGTTTTGTTAGGAGATTTATTTTAAACTGGACAGCATCCCGCCAGTACTGTGTCCACCAGCAGATTCAGTTCTATGGAACGTAAGAAATACAAATACTTTTGTAAAGGCGGCTTTGAAAAACAAACTTTTTCACAGACAGACCCCCTACGAACATATCACCCATTAATTAAAATTACAATTATAAAATTTCCCTAATTAGGAATGAAACAATTCCCTCACTGACGAACACACAGGTTTTGTGTCTGCTAATACAAATGAAAAACCTCTGATTCTTTGAACAAGTGGAAACAAAACCTCACGCCACAAACGATACGTATTTTGGACAATGCGAATAAATCACGCGTGTCAGACGCTCTCGGGTGAAATAAGGGCGTATTTAACTTTTAAAAAATGTCCATTACCCCCGAGAATCAGAGTAAAATCTTAAAACAGACGCAACTCACTTCTTTGCTTCCAAGATAAATGTCGCTGTGTCGATAACAATACCCCGTCATCCGGCCGGGGGCCCTTTCATTATACCAAATCATTTCTCCCGGGTCACAGAATCGGCAAGAAGTTAATACGATTTCGAAAAGAATTCATTTTATTTGGAGATGTTGGTGATCTGTAATAACACGATCATGTACCCTGGCTGTTCCCACAGGCTAACTAGCCCCCTGGAGTTTGCGGTCTCTGGTTCCTTGAACCCATTCTGATGAGAAAAGAAGCCAGCAAAGGCCATAAGGATTTCTGAGTGACGTGAAATGTAGTGTGAATCATGCGCTTTAAGTGTGTTCACCTAACTAGAACAGATGTGAAGAGTGTTATGAGTTACGTCCGTTAATACCGTATACCGGGTGTCGCAAAAAGTATTACTTCTGTAAACGCAGTGGTGAAAGCGGTCCACTCAATGGATTTTAATGAAGCTCGTAGAGTCAAAGTTATGTAAAACATAACTAAGTTTTCTTAAGAAAAAAAAAGTTATTCAATTTTAAGTTGTATTTAAATCCATTCAGCCGTTCGATTTTTACCGATATTTATAAAATAAGTAATTTCTTTTGCGACACCCGGTATTCTTCCTTTCGGAGTCAATAGAATGAATCATAATTTTCTTGGTCATGAAAAATCGCATGATAAGTTAAATCCAAAAACAAACAAACATTTAATTTTAGGATTTGGCTCGCATTAAAATTATTGTATAACTAGACCCAAAATTATTTTATTGGTATTAATATATATATGGATATATATATATATATATTTGTATTAAGGGTTTGCAATATAAAGAAGCTGATTTAAATAATTATTTACTTGTTACAATTTATTTTAATTTCGATGCTTTCTTAGTCCAATCACTTGTGGGGTCAGTGGCGTATTCTATCATATTTAAATCTGACAAAACAGTACGGAAATAAACATTTTCTTCTTTTGTACGAACCAAAGGCTATAATTCAGAAATATGTTTGTATACAATTTAATTGATTATTTAACGACTGTAATTTTATATCAGTTATCCCCTTTAAGCACGAAGTTCATCAGTTTTATATATAAAAATTCAGTTCGTACCTCAAGGAGAACACAATGCTTTTCTATTACAGATATTAAACAGTTGAATCGGTTTATAAAAATGGCCGCTGTTCATTGCTGTTTATTTTGTGAAAGATAAGAAATGTATAAAGTAAATATTGTGCTTTAAAGGGTTAACGTACTGTGGCATGAACATCCAGCGACAAATGAACTAAGAGACGTTGCAGCTAGGTCAGTGGGCTCCCTTCATTTATAGATTCACAACAACAACAATAAATAAACTTTTAAGCATCACAATTAATTCTTATGCTTGCACAGAAACATTCAGGCATAAATCGTAACGAAAACATTTACGAAATATCTCGATAAATACGTTAAATAGACAATGACTTCTAATGGCGGACTCTTATGAACGTGACATGTTTTGACAACTAGTTTCTCAAGGAAGACTGTGTCCCGCTGAGTTAGGTTAAGTTAGGTTAGGTCGAGGGGGCCTTCGGAATGTAGGCAGGCCCCAGGGGAGGCCACTGGCCGGGTGCTACGATCTTCTGCTTTGGCGAACTCACACTAGGGATGTTGTCGTTGGTGCAGACGCCCTCGGACAGCAGACGATCACGGATTTCCCACGCAAAAATTGAGGGGCACTCCCTCTTGTAGTCGGCTATCTTGTTCACAACGTTCGACGTGGCAACTCGTGGTTTCGAGCCGCCTATCGCCCGCGGTTTGATCGAACCGGTCTCATAATACCTGAAATTTATAAGAAACACATTCATTCACTCATTCCCAGACAATTTAACAGCAATTTATGCACTTCAGTGACCACATATCACGATTAATTACTTGTAATTAGCAATCTAGTGAGCAGGAACTCTTTTTAGACTGGGAGAAAAATAATTTCTGAAATTGAAACTAATTTTATTGAGATAGAAAAAAATTGAGAACAATTAAACCTTTGGCTTAATAACGAGGCGGTAACATAGACTGAACCGAATATTGGCAGAAACAAGTTAGGTCCTGCACTAGCAGTCTGAAGGAATTTATACGGTGATAAGTGTTTCAGGCCGTGGGCACGAACACTGCTATTAAAACCGCAGAATTTTAATTACCCTTTTCATGTTTAATTCTTGTCTTAAAGTTATAATTTCTCTGTTATATGCACTGTTAATTAATTACTAATGTTCGGCTCGAAAATTATATTCAGTTCTAGTGAGAAACTGTGAATCAGCACTCGGATCCTAACAGAATCTGTAGCAGACATGATGAATCCTCGTGCCATGATCTCTGTGGCAACACATTTTGCCCGGTTTCACGAATGCTTGCTGGGAGAACAGGGAACATGCATTGACTGTGTTACCCCGACCACGTTAAGTTTTCAAAGCGAAACTTAACGTGGTGGAAGTAAGGGCATTGCTGACTTAAACTACAAAAGGTAGCTCACTGCTCATATATGAGTCATGTGGTCTGCCGGCAAGAAACGTTTACTTCTGACAATAACACGCGTGAACCCATATCATGTGTAGGAGGTGTTACCGTGTGAAGTGGCCTTGCCCGGAAGACAAGCCACGAAATTGCCACGGGCGAACGTTTCCCTGCCCGTCCCCTCGAGAAGTGGCGGCGGTTGGAGCTCTTACCTGCCGAGGATCTTGGAGACGCAGCCGTTGGAGACTTGGAGGATGCGGGAAATGTCGCACGGCCTGGCGCCGGAGTGCGCCAACTCCACGATCTTCTGCCGGGTGCTGTCAGGCAAAGGGCGACCATTGACGTAGACCCCTCCCAGCTGGTTGATGCCGCTGTGGCCTGCAGCAGAGCATCCAAATATCGTACTAGCGGCTACGTGGTGTTCCTCCTCTGAAGCGGGCGGACAACGAGAGAACAGACAAAACAAAACACAGTGTTACAAACTCTGAGGGGGCGGCTAACCCCCTGTCTCTGCTTGACACGTAATTGTGGGTAGGACGGACCGCTTCAAATAATTATTTCACTATTTTTGTTTTCTCATAACAGAAATACTGAGCTCCCACGGAATGGATTGCACACCAGTAATCGGGAGGTCCCTCTTTTGAATCTCGGTCCACAGACTATGTGCCTTCATTAAAGGTCTTCGTGGTTTTCGTCAGTCCCTCTGCTCGCGAGTAACTTAAAATACGTTTTATGTCTCGGTATTTCCCAAAAGGTTCTGCCCTCTTTCAAAATCTCCGCCCATCCCTTGACTTTTCTGTTGCTAATGTTTTTATCCTGACGTCAAACTGAACTGTCATTCTTCCATTTATATCGCAAGTTTCTGTATTCGCTGGCTCAAAAGCGCGTTTACAGATTTACGTTCCAGTTTGTTTAAAATGTATCGATGGACCAGCCATATTAAACTTGTCAGTGTTATCAGTGCCCAAATGAAAGTAAAAGCCATCTAGGTACAAATTAATGAAGGTACGTATTCTATATATCATTTTTTAATACGAACTAAAATTATCTCCCCACCCCCCAAAAAAACACATATTTGTAGGCCTACTCCTTCTCACACCCATACAATAATTTTTTTGTGGTTAAATGACGTCGGTATTTCAGTGCAGTGATTGTCAGATCTTAATGTGACAAATCATTTGCTCCGTTGTGTGATTTCGGGTTCTCACGGCGACGAATATGAAGATGGCTGTCTTCTGTGATGTTAGTCTTTATTTAATATAGTTTTCACTGATATATTCTGCCGTGTAATCATGTGACCTGTCGATATGTGAAAAAGAATCAACCCCCAGGAGCGTCACAGAAGGTTTCAGCGTTTCAGAACAGTTGTTTTTTTTCCATAGAGGTCAACGCAGCCAAACAGGTGATGGTAATTCATGAATTTTACATCGTCCCGAACTGGCGCTCGTCGTCACGTGACATCTGTGCGTGTCGAACCATGGAAATGTTTAAAACATTGGCCTAAGGATACCACAGACAGATACTTATTTAAACTGCGGGCTGTCAGTTGACGTTTGTAGGTAAGGGAATTTACGAACTGAAGCTCAAATCTCCGAAGCTGATTATCCGGTTATTTCACGACGGTCTATTAACTGCTTACGTTATTTAGCGCTCATTGGCTCGTAGAAGATTACTACACGTACCTTTATGTTTAATGACATGGCAGAGTCTAACCCTCTGAATGCTATGTACGATATCGCTTAAGCTTCTCCTCTGAATTTGTTTGTTATTTTGGACTAAAGCCATCGTTCTCTATATTAAAACGAAGCCTCGACTTTTCCAAGGTCTGGTTCTGCCCATGTCTGCAGGTGTATTAATCGATATGTCTGGAGTGATCAAGCCTCTGATGGTCTTTCGGGCAGGAAATATTGATAATAAATGTAATTATGCATAACATTGCGGTCACCCTGACGGTGTTTATATAATGTGATCCACTGACAGCGTAATTATATAAACCATAAATAAATAACTTAATCAATGCAGTGTTTATTCTGAAATCCAAGTTGAGTTTTCGGCAGAAACACGGAACTGTGTATCTGGCACTGAAGTTCACATATTTTACCCAGGATTTTGTCGATAATATTTATATGATTATCTCACCATAGAAACTTACATATACAAAACAGAATATAGCAAGCTTTTTAACACAGTCGTTTTATTTATTTGTTTGTATTAAATAAGGTCGTAACCCACTGCAGCAAGAATTGCGATTAGGCAGTCGAAAGGGCTCCAGGACCACAATGTATGAAATTAAACTGGAATACGTAGTCCATTAGCGTCACCCCCGCAAGCTAGCTGCTTGCGTATGAAAACTTTGTTTTCGTAATCGGATACAAGCCGGGACCCTCGCCATTCTCTCGCTGCGCCGTTTGTAAGGCCAAGACGCCCTTCAAGCCCAGATTATACAAACTCTGCTCTGTAGTCGGATTTAGCGAGGGTTTCAATTGCTTCTTATTACCCGAGGCCCCGAAACTGTGCACGGCTCCTTGCCGTCGCCCGATTGCCACTAAAATAGCACAAAAGAGCGTTCAGGGCAGAAATACAAACGACTCCGTTCGTCTGTTCGCCCGAAGCTCTCTCTTTCCTCTTTGATTTGTTTCTTTGTTTCGTCCCGACTTCCATTCCGTCATTCTGTCCATCATCCTTTCCTTCTTTCTACATTCTCCTTCATTGGATGATTGTTTCCCTTTCAGACACGTTCGCATTCTCAGGAGCGCCTATTAAAACAGCTGAGTCCGTCTGTCCGGATTTCCATCAAATATGGAGTTCGGGATCTTACTAAATTTTGTCGATAAATTCCAATTTTAGTTAAAATCAAATAATAATAATTGTCTTCTCGCTTAAAGACCTACAGGAAGTATGAAGAATCCCCACTTTGGGAACTGTAGCTACGCGACCACATGGGAAATCCTCTGTGATGACATCATCACAGACACAGGCACCAGACATCCCGCATAAACATAGGTCATTGGCCCCAGTAAACTCTGGCGTCACTGGTGCTATCTACAAGGGTCGGAGGTCAATGTTTGTCAAACGCCTCAGACTTGTTGCAATGTGCGTGAATTTACTCAGCTTGTTTCCTTTTTGCAGACAGATCTTTGTGCGTTGATTCTCAGACAAATTCCGATAACCACAGCCCAGAACAAAGTTTCTACAAACATAAAAAATAAATATTCGTTCAGACCCAGATTCCTTTGATTTCTATGTGTTTCTTCAATTCCATTTTCCTTGTAAACAATCTTCGTTTATTACAGGTAACTTCCGTTCAAAAATAAAGCTTTTCGCTCTACATTCTGAAGACCATACATTTCCGGCAAAAAAAAGCGCGTTTCTGTTTAATCCACATTCCGCTTCAGACAGGTTTCCGCAGTATAAAGTGGCACAATTTCGAACTTCAATATTTTTCTGTAACTTCACATTACTAAAATAAATACTTTATATTTTAAGAAAGACGTATGCCTTATTATAGATAAATTAAACATTGCAATCAAAGAATATAATGTAAGACCAGACTCTCTTTTGTTTTAAATGACGAATTTGCGAAGACCTGCACGCCATCTGAAGTGCTTTAGAGTGACTGACGAAAATAATTCAGTAATGGCGACTTTCTGCGTGTTAGTGTCTTGTAGTGCAGCTGTGTTCATAAACGTTTACCTATAATAACACGTGCATAAGTGCTTCCTACAAACTAAAGCAGTGGCTATAAAACTTTGATTTATTTACCGTCACTCTATCAACTGCATAGGCTGCATGGAGTGTAATTTAAGTTTGAATGAAGAGGTTATTTGTGGAAGGGTGCAGTCGTAACCTATTTTAACACAACATCCAAGCATTTTTCTGGACGGACTAAGAAAAACTACGTATTGGTAACCTGTGGGCCCGATAATCGAAGTCGTGACTTTCAAGTTATGAAGTAGGAGTGCCACCAACTGTTAAGCCACCTCGTTTGATCGTGAAGGACGAGTGTAGTCAAGAGAAAATGGCGTTCATCATTACTAGCAATTGTGATCGTGAAGGACGAGTGTAGTCGAGATAAAATGGCGTTCATCATTACTAGCAAT